CACTGAGCCCACAACCCAGGCATGTCCCCTGACCAGGAATTGAACCTGTGACCTCTCCGTGCACGAGACAATGCTCAACCAACTGAGCCACACCAGTTCTATGTGTGACATTGTTAGCATATGTGGCTAGTTAGTGTTAATAAAGGAAGGGAGCATAAACCTAATGCACTGGGGAGCTGAATTGGACATTAAGCCTATTCACTAGGAAGCCAGTGTTCACAGGCTCCCCAGGGGACACACCCTCCAGATGCAGGGATCTAACCCCACCCAGGCAGGAAGACGCTCCCTGCTTCCTGTCGTGAGCCAGGATCGCCCGGGGGCAGGGATAAAGCTGCAGGAAACTCCTGCACGAGGCGCACGCACAGCAGAAACCTGGATGGCACAGGGAGCAGCACACGCACAGTGGACACCAGACGATGAGGCAGCAGAACTGGGGGGCAAGGGCAGTGGGAGCCAACGTGGGGGCGTAAAGGGGTGGAGTCCAGCCTGGAAAATCGGGGGAAAGGATGGCTTTGGATGAGAGCGAAGAAGAACTTTGGAAGGTCCAGGAAGGGATTGGTCCCAGGGAGGGCCCAGCACAAGCCCATGAAGAGTTAGGAAGAAGGTTGGACGGTTTGAAAGAGCCTGCTCATTCCCTCAAACCGAGGAAATAGATGGAGGCCCTGGCCAGGTGGCTCAGTTGGTAGGAACATAGTCCCGGGCACCAGAAGGTTGTGGGTTCGATTCCCAGTCAGAGAACATACCTAGTTTGCAGGTTCAAATCCCAGCCCTCTCACACTTCTCTCTCTCTCTCTCTCTCTCTCTCTCTCTCTCTCTCTCTCTCTTTCTCTCTCTCTCAAAATATGGAGGATCATCAGGAATCTCTGGACAGTTGCTATAGAGCCTGCCTTCCCTCTACATCCTGAAGGGCATCTTATTGCCCTTCACCCCAATAAGTCTTGATACTACGTGTGCTTTGAAATTCCTTTCTCACCACACCACAGGAAACCATTTCCACTGGCAAAAGTACAGCATGAAATACATGTTTGGTCTCCCACCCTGCTCCTGGTACTGAGCGCCTAAGCCCCCTGCGGTTTCCTGTGAGGAGAGTGAGAAAGGTGTCTTTTCTGTTAGCACGTTGCACGCCAGTAGTTTTATTTCTAGCTTTACCCGGTGGCCAGATAAGTTTCTTTTTTTTCTTTTTCTTTTAAAAAAATATATATTTTATTGATTTTGTACAGAGAGGAAGGGAGAGAGATACAGAGTTAAAAACATCGACGAGAGAGAAACATCAATCAGCTGCCTCTGCCACTGGAGATGTGCCCACAACCAAGGTATGTGCCCTTGACCGGAATCGAACCCGGGACCCTTCAGTCCCCGAGCGGACGCTCTATCCATTGAGCCAAACCGGTCCCGGCTAGATAAGCTTCTATTGAACGAGTACAAAAAACATTTTAGCAAGTATCACACTTCAAAAAGATATTAGCTTGTAAGAACATGTGATAAATAACTTCAAAATGCAATGGGGCCGAAACCGGTTTGGCTCAGTGGATAGAGTGTCAGCCTGCGGACTGAAGGGTCCCAGGTTTGATTCCGGTCAGGGGCATGTGCCTTGGTTGTGGGCATATCCCTGGTGGGGGCTGTGCGGGAGGCAGCTGATAGATGTTTCTCTCTCATCGATGTTTCTAGCTCTCTATCCCTCTACCTTTCTCTCTGAAAAAAAAAAAAAAAATCAATAATATATTTTTTAAAAATGCAATGGGTATTTAATTCGAAGGCGTGTTTTTAATATTTATGTAAAACTGTGCAATATGAAAACACGAGAATGCTCATGATCCGCCCGCAATATGTGTTTTTTTAAAATATATTTTATTGATATTTTACAGAGAGTAAGGGAGAGAGAGAGAGAGAGAGAGCTAGAAACGTCGATGAGAGAGAAACATCGACCAGCTGCCTCTTGCACACCTCCTACTGGGGATGTGCCCGCAGTCATCATACATGCCCCTGACCGGAATCGAACCCGGGACCTTTCAGTCCGCAGACCGACGCTCTACCACTGAGCCAAACTGGCTTCGGCGTAATATGTTAATATAAACACAAAACTAAGGATGGGCTGGTGGCCAGTGGAGCCAGCAGCAAGGTTAGAAGTTTCAGGTCCACCCCTGACCTCTGGGGCGGGGAGAGGAGAGGCACTGGAGGTTGGATCAATCACCAATGGCCAATGACTAACCAACCGTGCCTGCGCCATGAAGCCTCCGTAAAACCCCGGGTGATAGGGTTCCCAGAGCCTCTGGGCTGGTGAACACGAGGAGGTGCTAGAGCGCGGTGCACCCCGTGGCCCTTTCCCACACCTTGTCCTGTCCATCTTTTCGTCTGGCTGTCGATTCTTTTTTAAATATATATATATATTATTGATTTTTTTTACAGAGAGAAAGGGAGAGGGACATAAAGTTAGAAACATCGATGAGAGAGAAACACCAATCAGCTGCCTCCTGCACACCCCACACTGGGGATGTGCCCGCAACCAAGGTACATGCCCTTGACCGGAATCGAACCTGGGACCCTTCAGTCCACAGGCCAACGCTCTACCCACTGAGCCAAACCGGTTACGGCTTTAATATTTTTATTGATTTCAGAGAGGGAAGGAGAAGGAAAGAGATAGAAACATCAACGATGAGAGAGAATCATGTATTTCCTGCCTCCTGCACACCCACTACTGGGGACCGAGCCCGCAATCCAGGGATGTGCCCTTGACTGGAATCGAACCCGGGACCCTTTAGTCCGCAGGCCCCCACTCTATCCATTGAGCCAAACCAGAGAGGGCGACCGCTTTTTACAAATGGGGAAGCTGAGGCTCTGCTGGTTGAAGCCCCTTGTGCCAAGTGTCAGCGAGAGGAGGGGCGGGAATGTGAACACAGAATGGCTCCCCTGGAGCTGACAGCTGTCTAGGCTGATGGGTCTGGATCAGGCCAAACCCTTGGAAGCTTTTATATTTAGGGAAAACCACAAATAGATGGAGGTGTGGTGGGGGGGAGAGAGACTTCAGAGTCCCATCCCAGGCCTGGAAATAGCCAGTAGAAAGCCAGACATGTGTGAGTCCCCATTGCGGAGTCACCCCTAAAACCTATGTGCCTTCTTGTGCCCTGGGGTCCGGTTCTCTTATCCATTCATGGAAATGAATGGTGGCTGCGGCCTGGAGTCCAGCGAAGGCTGTGGTCTCACCATTCATTATTCATCTGCAGGCTGCCACCTTGGACAGCACCCCGTGCGTGGCTCTCTCTGCCCCCTGCTGACCTTGCCCTGCCATGTGAGGGTGACTCAGCACTCTGGAGTAACCCTGGGGCCCCCGCCTCTGCTGGTGTGTGTGGGGGGAGGGAGCCCTAGCTCCGTGCTTAGTCATCCCTACATCCTTTGTTGAGTACTTGCTTTGTGCCAAGCTGGTGGGGCAAGACGCCTAGCCTCCTGCAGTCAGGATGTTAGGGTGAGCACATGTGTTTGCTAAGCCCCTGCAGCTTACCTGGGAGGTCACAGGGACCTCAGGACTCTCCTATCGCCTGGTATAATTCCACTGCCCAGAGCTGAGGCTGACTCAGGGGGGAGCGAGAGGGTATGGGGAGGGGGCGCGGGGAGGAGGCTAGGCTTGGCTGGCCTAGCACAGCTGGTGGGTATGTGCTGTGTGGCCCTCATTGATCCTTGTACTTCTTGCCTGCACACTCCTATCATACGCATCACATTCCCACCATCTGTCTCACACTGCTGCTCACCCTCCCCACAGCACAGGGGCCGGTTGCCTGGGGCCAGGAGTCTTGAGAAGCGGAAAAAGCTCTGGGTGACCCAGGAGGAAGGGTGTTCCTGGGGCACCTTCTGCCCCTTCACCATCTGGTGGCTGGACCCAACACCAGCCCTCCCTGCCCTAAAGGGCAGCCCTCCAATTCTCTGTCACCTACTCTCTGGGCCAGCCAGGGAACTGGTGTCCAGAGTGGCTTTATCCCTGCCCAAATCTTCCAGGAACCCCCAAGACTGGGGCAGACAAAGTCAACACTGCCAGTGCTGGGGGGGTCAGGCTTGGGTTGGAGGAATGAATGGAGGAGGGGCTTTTTGAGTAGGGTTTTGAAGAATGAGTAGGAGTTTCCTAGATGAGGGTAAGTGCAAAAAATACCCAGTATATGAAGCACCTATTATATGCCTGTCGTGCCTTTATATATCATGTAACCTTCTCCCCAGTGAAAGACTCAGTCCTTGCTTCCCAAATGAACAGGGGTGTGATGGAGAGAAATGACTTGCCCAGGTAACACTTTCTGGCTCTTTTTGGCCCTTTCTCTTCTGCTTTTTCTTTCTTCTTCTTCTTTTTTTTTAATATATATATTTTTTATTTCAGAGGGGAAGGGAGAGGGAGAGATAGAAACATCAATGATGAGAGTCATTTATTGGCTGCCTCCTGCATGCCCCCTTATTGGGGACCAAGCCCGCAACCCAGGCATGGGCCCTTGACTGGAATTGAACCCACACTCGTCAGTCTGCAGACTGGTGCTCTATCCACTGAGCCGAACCATTGATGGCCGCTTTGTTTTTCCATATATATTCAGCCTTTGGATCTAACCAGAGGGAAGAGAGGAAACACCATCAGGAAAGAAGGCCACTTCGTAAGCTCTTGCCGTGGAGTTTAGCACATAATAATGTTGAGGGGTTTGTGTGTGTGTGTGTGTGTGTGTGAGAAAATCTATTTTCCCATCAGCCCACCAACCTGGGATGATGCCCCCATTTCACAGACGTCTCAGAGGCACTCCTGGGCCCCAGCTTCCCCAGGAGCACCCCCCTCCAGCTTCTCCCCCAGAGAAGCAGCCACAGACCCTGCCCAGCTGTGGTCCCGGGAGTGTTTACTGTGCCGGCGGGACCGGGCGGGCGGGGGCGGACAAAGTCCGGGGGATATAAAGTCTGGCAGCAGCGTCCGGTCCGTCACAGCTCAGAGCACAGGAGCAGGGCTCTGCCCGGGCAGGCCTGCCGCGCCGCGCTGCCCTGCGATGCTGCTGCTGCTGCTGCTGGCGCTCTCCGGGCTGCGGAGCGGAGACACCCTCTCCCTCGCCCAGGAGCACCTCCAGGTCGTCCCGGGACCCTCACACGCCAGTCCGAACAGCTCCAGACTCCAGGATCTGAGGAAACGCTACGAAGATTTGCTGACCAGGCTTCGAGCAAACCAGACCTGGGAGGACTCGAACCCTGACCTCATCCCTGCCTCTCACATCCAGATTCTCACCCCAAAGCGTGAGTGAAACCTCAAATACACCCCCTACACACCCAAGCAGCTTCTATCATCTAACCAGTGGTTCTGAGTTATACAGCATCATGCTGAGCCTCAGTTTCCCCATCTTTGAGCCGGACAAACACGTCCCTCCTCCGGGCTGACTGGGGAGCTAGCGTCCCTGTTTGCGTTGGGACAAGAGAGGCTTAGCCAGCGTGGGAGAGGAGGATTACATCTCCTCGGGTAGCAGATGGGGAAACTGAGGCGGAGAGAAGCCAGTGACTCTCCTGAACGCTCGCCCAGCCTGGAGAGCCTTGAGATGAGGTCTGGCAGGGTGCATGGTCCCTGTCCTTGAGTAGCTGGGGCTGAGGGTGGGTGGGATCCAACAGGATGGGTGCAGGGGGAGGGGGGTGGGAAGGGGAGCAGGAGGGGCTTAGTGCACAAAGAGGGGAGAATCCACTCTGGTTCTGAATCTGATGCAATCTCGCTGCAAGGCACTGCTAACGTCGCACATGACAGGTGCCCTGAAAGAAGGAGGGACTATTTCCGCGCCCTCCAAGGGGACTCCGGGAGGCGGAGAGGGCAAACGGAGATCTGGCCTGCGCTGGAACCGGGAGGGGTTGGGGAGAGGGTGTCAAACTAGAATTGGTTTTATCCTGCCCTAATCCCACTGGTGCTGAGACTCCAGGTAAACCGGTGGGGCTCATGCAGCAACTCCAACGCCAGTCTCTCCAGTAGCCCCAACACCTGCCTCAGCCTGGGGGTCTGCGAAGCCTGGGGAGCCCGGTACCTTTCCTTTCTCAGGTGGGAAACAGAGACCCAAGGAGTTGAAAACAGAGTCTGGTTGCTGAAACCCTAGCCCCAGGCACGTAGTAGGTCTTCAACGAAAATGTCTTTGACTGCCAGGAGGCGGAACCAGCATCTGACTAAGCACCTACTGTGTGCCATGCACGGTGGTGACCAGGCAGACAAATCCCTACCAAATAAAATAGGCTGGTGCTGTTTTAGGTAGGTTGGAGGGATTCAGGGAAAGAGTGTGTCTGATGGAGGAAGGGGTTTATGCCATGGCCCTGAGGTGGGATCCACCTGGCCTGTGGGAGGAAATGTAGGCCCGTGGGTGACTGGCCTTCCTCTCTCTCTCTCTCTCTCCCACAGTGAGACTTGGACCAGGCGGCCGCCTGCACCTGGGCATCCCCAGGGCCAACCTGTCTAAGGGGCTCCCCGCAGCCTCCCGCCTGCAACGGGCCCTGCTCAGGCTGTCCTCCCCAACGGAGTCGCGCACGTGGGATGTGACGCAGGAGCTGCAGCGTCAGATCGGCTTCGGCGTCTCCCGGGAGCCCGCCCTGCGTCTGAACTGGCTGCCGCCGCCTGATCGGTTGCGGGCGGCGGCATCGACTGCCGCGGGGCTGCGGCTGGAGCTGCACTGGCGGCCACGCGCCGGCAGGGGGCGCCGCAGCACGCATGCGCGCGCCCCGGACGGCTGCCCGCTCGGCGAGGGCCGCTGCTGCCGCCTGCGGAGCCTGCGCGCGTCGCTGGAGGACCTCGGCTGGGCCGACTGGGTCGTGGCGCCGCGCGAGCTGGATGTGCGCATGTGCGGCGGCGCGTGCCCGAGCCAGTTCCGGCCGGCCAGCAGGCATGCGCAGATGCTGGCGCGCCTGCACCGCCGGAAGCCCGAGGGCGTGCCCGCGCCCTGCTGCGTGCCCGCCAGCTACGAGCCGGTGGTGCTGCTGCACCGGGACAGCGAGGGCCGCGTGTCCCTCACGCCCTTCGACGACCTCGTGGCCAGCGACTGCCACTGCATGTGAGCGGACCTGGACCTCCATCCACCGCCCGTGCTCAGTGGAGGCGACCTCAGTCCGTGCCTGTCGCATGGAATGGGCTAGTGGGGCCCGAAATAATGCAATGGCAACCATTGCTGTCTGCGGCCTGCCGCCAAAAAACGACGTTTTTATAAGTTGATATTTATTATTAATTTATTGGGGTGACTGGCCTAAGGGCCAGAGAGCTGGGGAGGGCTGATCCAGCAGGGTGTACGTTTATTTAAATTGTGGTAATAAAAATGAACCTGTCAGACCTGACTCCTGTGATGCCTGATCTGAGGACCTTGGGAAGAGCCTGCCCCTCCCTGGCCTTGTTACACCCAGACTTCGTGATCCCCAAGGACCACCAGGGAGCCGAGTCCGATGCCATAAACAAAAGAGCCTTCTCCATGCTAGCATGGGCTCCTCCCACTCACGCAGGCAGCATGGAGGAAGAGAGAGAATTTCTTCCAGTCCAGGGGTTTTACTCAGGTCGATGGTGATGTCACTGCCTCGGCTAACCCTGATTGGTTGGGTGAGGGCTAGGGATAACTCCGCCCTGCGGGGCGGAATCGGGAGCTCATCCTCTCCCCGCCCTGCCCTTTCAGCCTCAGTTCCCACAGGGACCTACCATAGGGGTGAGCGGAAGGTTCGGTGAATGGGCAGCAGGGCGTTCTTGCAGCTGACAGGCAATGGGATGGTGCTGGCAACCCTTCAAGGGCACCTGGGACATCCCTGTCTCCACGCTCATCTAGCTCCATTTCTCTGGGTCTCAGTTTCCCTCTCTCTCAGTACTCCTGTTTCTGGATGAGTTAAAATATCAGTGTATTAGAGCTAAACAGACTTAGAGCCCAGCTAATGTGGCTCCGTGGTTGGGCATTGACCTATGAACTAGGGGGTCATGGTTTGATTCCTGGTCAGGGCACACCCTGTGCAGGAGTCAGTCGATCAATGATCCTCTCTCATCATTGATGTTTCTATCTCACCTTCTTCCTCTCTAAAATCAATAAAAAAGAACATTTTAAATAAAACACAGACTGAGAGACCGATTCTAACACTGCATTTTACAGATGTGGGGAACGAGACATGTGGAATTAATGGCAGAGTTAGGACTTGAACTCTTACCACCTGACGCCCTAGCCACAGTTCTGCAACTTTTAGGGTGTTTACGAGTAAGAAAAAGAGGAAGGGGTGGCATTCTGGGCAAAAGGAGTGGCATGGGTAAATGGCTTAGGAAAATGAAAGGTTCAGCAGGGTGGGGGCTAGCTGGTGATGAGGCCCAGACCAGAGGGCAGAGGGATGGGAGAGGCAGTGAGGTGGACAAATTACCAGACTGCAGACCCAGGGACAATGGGGAGCCAGAGAGGGTGTGTGAGCAGGGCAAGGACACAGTCCTGATTCATGAGTTACATAAATCCGTCTGGGGCTGGCGTGGGCTGCTCTGGGGGCTGAGTCTGGATGCCAGGGACCTGGGAGGGGACCTGGGAGGGACATCAGGGAGGGGCTGGGAAGAAATTCAGGAGTCTCCAGAGATCTAATCTTGAGAGTTCAGGAAATCACTGACAGGAACCTTCTCCCTCTGAGCCAGCAATCTCACCAGCCTCACAGTATTTATTTTTATTTATTTATTTATTTATTTATTTAATATATTTTATTTTTTACAGAGAGGAAGAGAGAGGGACAGAGAGTTAGAAACATCGATGAGAGAGAAACATCGATCAGCTGCCTCCTACAAACCCCCTACTGGGGATGTGCTCGCAACCAAGGTACATGCCCTTGACCGGAATCGAACCTGAGACCCTTGAGTCCGCAGGCCGATGCTCTATCCACTGAGCCAAACTGGTTTCGGCCTCACAGTGTTTATTGAGCACCACCTGTACACCGAGAGGAAGGTGACAATGGAGTTGACATCGAGAGCCCCTGTGTCTGTGTTGGAGTCTCCTCTTCAGGGGTCTGAAGAGCAGAGCAGGAGCTGGGGAGAGGGCTTGCAAAGACAGTTCTTCCCTGTCCCCATTCCTCAGGCTGGGAGACTGAGGCCAGGGGAGACCTGGCATGGGGCAGGCTGGAGTTCCGGCTCAGTGCCCGATCACGTACTCATCTTCGGCCGCGGGGACCTGGCCGGGGAACTGCAGGTTGCCGTAGACGGGCTGGGAGGCCCGGCGGAGGTCCTCGTAGTTCATGTAGCAGTCGGTGTCCTCTGAAGGGTGAGGCCTGCGGGGACAGAAGCTGGGTAGGAAGGAGGACTCGGGGGGGAGGAGCATCAGCTTGGAGAGGCAAAGGAAGTTCAGTGACCCTGTCCCCTCCTCATTTACATGTGAAGAAACTGAAGCCAGGGACACGTTCTCCCAGCCTAGCGACTTTCTCCCAGAAAAGGAAGTCAGGGCAGTGAGTCAGGGAAGGTTCTGCGGATTCAGCACAAAGGGCTGAGGGCTGAGGACTTGGGGCCAGTGTAGCTTTTTTTTTTTTCCTTCCTTAAAGTTGAGGTGTTGTTTGTTTTATTTTTACATTAAAATCTAGCCTTCAGTTTCTTCTGGAAAAATTGCTAGCTCTGGTCACATCAGCCCCATACACTTAAGTGGCTGGAACCGGCAATGTTTCCATGGCCCCTGAAGCAGCAGACTTTGTGACCACAAAATAAAAATAAGGCCCTAAGCGGTTTGGCTCGGTGGATAGAGCATCGGCCTGCGGACTCAAGGGTCCCGAGTTTGATTCTGGTCAAGGGCATGTACATTGGTTGTGGGTACATCCCCAGTAGGGGGTGTGGAAGGGGCAGCTGATCAATGTTTCTCTATCATCGATGTTTCTGACTCTCTCTCCCTCTCCCTTCCTCTCTGTAAAAAATCAATAAAATATATTTTTTTAAAACAGAAGTCTCAGAAACTCACTTTCTGCACCCATACATTAGTTAGGGAGGACATGGCTCCTTAAGAATGTTTAGCTGTGAGAGGCAAGACCCCCAGAGAAAAGAACTTTCCTTCCTCCAGAACATCTTATCCCACCCTGGGTCCTCTTGTAACAAAGGCCATGTTGGGTAAGTGGTGTCTATCACTCACTCACACTTTAGTATGAATTACTCCAAACACATATATGGTTGTACTGGCGTGGACAGGACTGGGAATCAGAGTTTGTTTCCTTCCTCTGCTTCTGACTCACAGTGTGACCTTGGGAAAGTCATTTCCCTTCCTCCCAGAGCCTATCTTTCTTCATCTGTAAAACGTAGAGTGGGAATGACGCATTCAATCCTAGATATTTTTGGAAGAGACTGGCCCTGTGCCCGTAGGGACAGGGAAACAGAGGGGAGCAACAGGCAGAGCTAAGCTGCTTTAGCAAGTCTAGTTCCCTCAAATCCCTTCCGCAGACCACTTCTGCTTTTAAGCTGTGTTTTCATCTGCTTTGCATATTCTCTAATTTCTCATCAATAGAGTCCCATTGCTTCCCCACCGCACCCCCGAACTGGGTCTCACCCTCCAGACTCCGCCAGGACCCCGTTCCCTTCTGGCTTGTATCCTCCCACCCCCTTCAGCTGCAGCGCTCATGTTTTGCTGTCTCCAAACCCTTTGACAGCAGTTTCTCCGTTCTCTCCCACCCGCTGACATTTGTTTCTGCCGGTGCCTCCCCCTGAGATCCCATCCACTTCTCATCCAGCCTGGAGAAGCTGAACCCACCTAACCCCAGCCTGACCTAGAGACATTGGGGCTTTGTACAGGGGAGATGGACAGATGTCTTTCTTAGCATCTCTCAGTGTCCAAGGGAGGGGGGGGCGGTCCCCCTGACACAGAGAGCTAGTGTTTCAGAGGCAGCGCTGGGTCACAAGAAATCTGCACCCAGGCTGTGGACCGGCACCTCAGAGCCCCCGTCTGCCTGGAGCCCTTGCCTCCTCTCTCCCTGTCCTTGGCAGCCAGAAACTGGGTTTGTAGGTCATGGAGGGAGTCTGTCCCATCCGCAGGGGCTCACTTATTCCTCCATAAGGTGGGGTTGCTGTTATCCCCGTTTTACCGATGAGGAACTGAGACCCGGAGGGGAAAAGCTAATGGCTCGGGATCACACGGCCTGCAAGAGGCAGAGCTGGGACTTGAACCCTGGCCATCTGGCTCCAGAGTCCTACAGGCAAACGTGTGTGGGTTACTCACCCGTGTTTGGTCGGCTGGTGGTTGGCAGGCGGCTGGCCTATGAACACATTCTCATAGTCAGGTGTGGGGGGTCTGGGCAGGGTGGCTTCTGGTTGATGAAGGCTGAGGCTCCGGCTACTGTATCTCGTCTGCCAGCCTGAGCTGGGCCTGGGCCCCCCCGGAGCAGCCCACGTTTTGTCCTGGCTCTGTCTCCTGGGTGACCAGCGTGACCGGGCTCTCCAGAGCAGCAATGAGCCAGCTACGGCGAGCCCAAGGAGCAGGCTCCCACTGGCGGCCAGCGCCCCGATGGCCGCCACGCTCAGGCCAGGGGGGCAGCTGACCTCCAGGAAGGCGGAGAGGTTGCGCCAGGCGAAGGTGCCCGCATCCAGGCACTGCAGGGGCAGCTGGTCAGAGCAGTTGTCCTGCCGGACCCGGTGCCAGGAGGCCAGGGCGCAGCGGCAGTCCGCCTGCAGGTCCAGGGCGCAGCGTTCGGCCAGCTCCGCGTCCACGCGGTCCAGCGGGTTGTGGGTCACGTTGAGGATCCGCAGGTTCCCCAGGCGGGCGAAAAAGGACCACGGCAGCTCCCGGAGGCCGTTCCCAGACAGGTCCAGGAGGAGCACGCCGCTGGCCTGCAGAGACCCGTTCCTGGGGATGCTCAGGCCTCGGCCGCTGAAGTTCAGACAGGTGGCTGTGAACTCCGCGTTCCAGTCCACGTCCCCCGAGGACACGTTGCAGGACAGTCCCAGGCTGCATGGGTCCTGCAGGAGCAGCGGCAACCACAGCGCCCACGGCAGGGCGCGCCCCATTCAAGCGACCTAAGGCGGAGACACCAGAATGCAAGCCCTGACCTTTGTAAAGGCCTGTGGTCGCCCTCACCCTCCACACCCCGGCTTGTTGCGAGTTGGGGTTTGTCTGCTTTTAATAGCTCAGGGACAGCTCAGGACGCTTTGGGTCACAGGCAGCCCCTCCCTGGTAGCCCCCTTATGGCCGGGCTCTGGCCCTTCTACCAGATGGGTTCCCCAACACCCTGGTGGGCAAACTGCGGCTCTTTGGCCCCTCGAGTGTGGCTTTCCCACGAAATACCCACGGCCTGGGCGCGTCTATGTTGAAGAGGTTTAGGCGGTTCGAAGAAGTCTAAGTCTAAAAAATGTGGCTCTCAGGAGCAATGTCCATCGCTGTGCTGTTGCTATTTGGCTCTGTGGACTGATGAGCTTGCCGACCACTGGCCCCAACATTCCCGGCGGCCTCATTGGCCAAGACGGAGCTGCATGCAAATGAGCTGTGGCCGGCAGCGGGCGGTCTCCGTGGACCGGCCCGGGAGTCCGGGGATGGGTGGGTGGATGGGGGCGCCCTGCAGAGACCCCGGTTCTGGCCTCTGCCTCCCTTTGCGCCACGCTACCCCGCCCTTACCTGGCGGTGCTGGAGCTCCGCGCGGAGGACCTCGGCGGTGGGTCACCCGGCCCCGGGCGGGCGCTCAGCCGGCGGCCCCTCTCCGGTCCCCGCGGCGGGTCCCTGCGGCTCCGGAGGCTCCGCACCCGGCGGCGCAGGGGAAGAGGAACTGGAGCCCTGGCGGACCGCCGAGGGCGAGAATGAAGAAGACACAGCGAAGACCCGCCCTTCTGCAAGCCTCTGGGCTTGCAAGTCTCACGGGAGGGGGCAGGGCGCCGCTTCCCTCTCGCTGGACCCCAGGCATCCCCGCCGCCTGCTGTCCCTCAGCGCACTTCCTGGTCTCAGCTCCGCTCTCTCCCAGCCCTGGCATTCATGTATCCATTTCAGGCATCACCCAGGGCCCCAAGAGCCTCAGCCTGGAGGATGGGTTCCCCAGGAGCACCCAGTCCTGAGAGAGGTCAGAGCTGAGCAGACACCCTAGTCCCCTGGGGTCCGGACACGGTCTCGGAAAGCTTTTTGGGGAAGGAGACATGAACATTGGAGCTTCAGCACGTGAACAGAAGTTTGCTGAGGATCCCTAACACCTGCCTTTGACTCTCTAAGCTCCTAGTCTCCCCATAGACTCAGCACTCTTAAAATAAATAAATAAATATATATATATATATATATATATATATATATATATATATATATATATATATCTCGTATTGTTTTTTGGTGTTTTTTTTTACAGAGAGGAAGGGAGACGAATAAAGAGCTAGAAACATGGATGAGAAACATCAATCAGCTGCCTCCTGCACACCCCTACTAGGGATGTGCCTACAACCAAGGTACATGCCCTTGACTGGAATCGAACCTGGGACCCTTGAGTCTACAGACCTACACTCTATCCACTGAGCCAAACCGGTTAGGGCCAGACTCAGCATTCTTGCTCATGTACAAAGAGGCCTCCATGCTAAGGGCTTGGTGAGGAGGTTCCCTGGGTGAGGGGACCCTGAGTCTGGGGCTTGGGGAATGGCAGGCCGTGGCAGGCAGAAAAAAACCATTTGTAGACTCTAGGCAGAAGGCACAGCAGGAGCCAGGACCTTGGCCCTGGGCTCGAAGCATGGGCCCTGGGGCTGCTGGTGAGCAGCAGAGTGGCTGGAGTGGACATGTTCAGAGGAGGAACTGGTTGTGTGTGTGTGTGTGTGTGCGCGCGTGAGTGTGTGTGAGAGTGTGCGTGTATGTGTGTGTGAGTGCGTGAGCGTGTGAGTGTGTGTGAGTGTGTGTGCGTGTGAGAGAGTGTGTGAGTGTGCATGAGTGTGTGTGTGAGTGTGTGTGTGTGTGTGAGAGTGTGAGTGTGTGTGTGTGTGTGTGTGAGTGTGAGTGTGCGTGAGTGCGTGAGTGTGCGTGTGTGTGTGTGAGTGCGTGAATGTGTGAGAGCGTGAATGTGTGAGAGTGTGTGTGAGTGTGTGTGTGTGAGTGTGTGCGTGAGTGTGTGAGTGTGTGTGTGTGAGAGTGTGTGAGTGTGTGAGTGTGTGTGTGAGTGTGTGTGGGTGAGTGTGGGTGTGAGTGTGTGAGTGTGCGTGTGTGTGCGTGTGTGTGTGTGAGTGTGTGTGCGTGTGTGAGTGTGTGTGAGTGTGTGTGTGTGTGCGCGTGTGAGTGTGTGTGTGTGTGTGTGTGTGTATAGAGGAGCAGAGGCACAGGCCGAGACGCAGGCTGAGGAGTGGGGCTGTATTCCCAGGGCCATGGGGAGCCAGAGCAGGTGTGTGAGCTGGGGAGGGGCATTGTGCCAAGACGTACAAGTGGAGTGAGCCTGGGGGCTGGGGAGGGAATCCAGGGAGGAGACCAGTATCCCCACGGGAGAGGAGAGCCTGAGTCAGACCTGAAGGATGGTGACAGAAGTGAGGCTGAGGAGGGAGTGGACAGGCTGGGCTGGGAGAAGGTCTTAGCTTCAGTGGGGTCCTGGCATATCAGGCAGATTGAGTTCAATTCCATTCTAGCTCCTGACTCACTGTGCAACCTTAACTGCTCAGTGCCTCAGTTTCCACATCTGTAAGATGGGATAGGTGCTAAGAGCCTTCCAGATTCCGGGAGGCCGCAGTCCACTCCTTCCACTTCCCCCTCTCCTCAGACTCTGCTCTTCCCATTTCCTTACTCAGAAGAATTGGGAGATTTTTCAGAAAGGGTTGCAAATTGTTCTTCAACACACCCAAAGTTACTCCAAATAAGAAAATGTAAACCGCAGCTCTGAAACCGTTTGTTTTCACCTATCAGACTGGCAAGAATGCATAAGTGTGATACACCAGTGCTGGCTGGGATGGGGGGACACAGGCAGTCCCACACACTGCTGGGGGAATATCCATAGCATGCCCCCAGGAACGCACCCTGGCACAGGCCACCAGAATCATGAACACATGTGCCCACTCACCCAGCAACCCCACCCTGGGACTTCCCCAAAATATCTACGTTTGCAAAACGACAGGGGCGTGAACTGATGAAGGATGAACACACACAGTCCCTCCACACGGTGGAATATTACTCAGCCATGAAAAGGAGGGAAGCATTGACCTCTACAATGTGGGTGGACCTGAAAGTCATGCCAAGTAAAAGAATCCAGACACACACGGCTGTATGTCGTATGATCTAATTTCTGGGAAATGCCCAGAACAGGCAAAGGCAATCCATAGAGCCAGAAAGCACATTAGTGGTTGCCAGAGTCTGGGGGAATGGGAAATGGCTACTAATGGGATTGAGGTCTCCTTTTGGGTGATGGAAATGTTCTAGATCTAGATAGAGGTGATGGTTGTGCAACACGAATGCACTAAAATGCCACTGAATTGTCCACTTTAAAATGGTTAAAATGGCCTGGCTGGTGGGACTCAATGGTTGAGTGTCGACCTGTGAACCAGGAGATCCCTGGTTTGATTCCCAGTGAGGGCACATGCCTGGATTGTGGGCTTGATCCCCAGTGTGGGGCACGCAGGAGGCAGCGGATCAGAGATTCTCTTTCATCATTGATGTTTCTACCTCTCTCTCCCTTGCCCTTCCTCTCTGAAGGGAGAAAGGAGAGGAGAGAGATGCATTGATTAAAATATGTATATATAATTGGTTTTAGAGAGAGGAAGGGAAAGAGACAGAGAGATAGAAACATCGATAGGCTGCCTCCTGCATGCCCCCTACTGGGGATTGAGCCTGCAACCAGGGCCTGTGCCCTGATCGGGTTTTGAACCATGACTTCCTGGTTCATGGAGGGACCTTCAACCACGAAGCCACACTGGCCCAGCAGAAACGTTGATTGGCTGTTGCACTTATTTATGCATTCACTGGTCGATTCTTGTGCGGTGCCTTAACTGGGGATCAGACTGTGTGTCTGAGCTACCAGGCCAGGGCTAAGGTGGCACCTTTTTAATGGGATGAACAAGGAAATCCTTAGTGAAAAGGCTAAAGCAGCTCACTGAGTAAGGAGGTGGGGGAGGGCACCCAATGGAACAGCTTCTGCAAACACCCCTCAGGTGGAAGCTGCCTGGGTGAAAGCAGATGTCTCCAAGAGAAGATGTTAACTGAAAAAAGCAAATAATAGTAACATAATAATAATAATAATAATAATTTTCTAGACTTCATTTGCCTACAGAAACTTTGGATGAAACATGAAAAACAAATACCCATAGTTACCTCTTAGCGGCAGACAGAGGGAAGGGAGAACCTCACCAGGTACATTTTAATATTTTTTACTTTAGGATCCTATCATTTCACAGGAATGCAAATCATCGTTTGCATATTCAATCAAAACATTAAAATTAGCCAGGAACTACACACAAGACACTCAGGTTTTCAGGACAGGAGGGACAGGGGTCTTGCTGGGCCCAGGCGGGCCATCTCCCATACCCCACATCCCGAAGGACTTGGTCGGGTCCAACGCGGACCTCAGAATAAGAGGAAATGAGAAATGAGGAAGCAGCAGACACGGGCTGTGGGGGAGGGGCAGGCAGGCTGGGGCCTGGGATAGTAGGTCAGGGGAAACTAGGGGTTTGGGGTCTGACGTATCTGGGTGTCCTGGAGTTTGGGGGCTCAGGTCCTGCGACGTGGGTGTCTGGGAATTCCTCGCATTTGGGGGTCCTGGGGTCTGGAGCAGGTCACGGTTTTACAGGCCTGGGGTCTGGTCTCCTGCTGCTGTCTCCGCTGGCCGCGCCCAGGGCTGTGGAAGGAGGAGACTCGGGCTCCGCTGGCCCCCTCCCTGGCTGGGGAGCTGGAAGCTTCTGGAAGGCACATCTTCATGCTCCCTTTCCTGCCCACCTGGTACACCCGAGCAGGTCCTGGGCCTGAGTTCCAGGAAGGGCCGGCCCATCCCATCAGCTCAGAGAGCTCCAGAGACCCTCAGAGACACTCGGAGACACTCGGAGAGAGACACACACAGGGCGTTCCCTCAGTTCAGCTA